AGCCATTGTTCACCCACTTGAGAAAACTTTGCTTTGAGTATTGGTACCAAGATTAGAGTTTTTATTCTTCAAGGGGTTGAAAAACAGCTGAGGTCATCCTCTCAAAAGGCAATAATGTGTCCAGTCCAATTCATAAAGTCGCCAAGTAATAAGATCTGAAGGACATTTTTTTGTTTTATTTTTATTGGGGACAAAGCCTATTTTTATTTATAATTTCTTTGGAGGAGTTTAAGCACTGAGAGGGATAAATTACCTTTGGCTTTATGTATCCAACATCATCAAACTGCCCCATGCAGATATTATGTTTATTAAAATGAGCACTGTGTGTGAGATCATCCTAATCTGGTTACATTGTACACTAGGGCAAACTATTTAAAATAAACTGAAATGAATAATTAATGAAAGAGAAAAGAATATTCCTTTCAAGCTTCCCAGATATACTAGTCTTGTTTTTTCTTTTTCTGGCTTTGCCTTACTCCCCCTTTCTACTTTGTTTTACGTCATTTTGACCTATTCTCACCCTCACGTTTTATTCCTTCCTTTCCATTTCAGAGTTGCTGTAATAGTAGCCTAGCTGCACACAAGGGACAATTGTTCTCTGTTGGAGATGGCATGGAGGACAGCAACAACGGTTGCTCTTTCTACCGTGGCATCTAGACAGGCCTTGCCTTCTATCCTGGGACACATCCACTAAATTGGTGAAGAGGAAAAGGGCCCCATGCTCCCTGATTGATCCAGGACACAGAGAGCCATGCAGTGCACAGTACTTTTCCATTGGAATGACCATTTCTGGTCACTCTCTACTCTTTTAGTGAACTGGTCAGTCTATAGCCTTGCTACTAAAAGTTTAGTCAAGGACCAGCACCCTAAGCATCGTTTAGCTATGTTTGAAATGCAGAAGCTCCACCCTAACCCTGTGGAATCAGGATCTGCATGTTTAGAAGACCCCTATCTGATTCATGGGGACTTCAACGTCTGACAAGTACTGGTCTACAGGCTGTCTTTTGTCCACAAACACATTTTCTCTCTTTTTAACTGTGGCACACGGTGTGAGGGAAAAGAGAAGTCGTGTACTATACTGAGATAAATCTTAGAAGAAATTATGTCCCTACATAGAACTAGGTTCCCTAAGACTAATTAGTAAACAAACTTGATTTCGAAAAACAGGTGGAGCTTTTTTGCCTGATATGTTTTTAATCTTCTGAGATCAGTGAACTTCCTTGTTGCAATGATTTGACACCACTTGCAGAGTATTATTCAAACCAGGGAAATAATTAGAAACAACTTACTCAAGCACCAACCCAAATCTTTCTTCTTGGCAATTTCTGGAACTCCTTAAGCAGTCCCTTAGGTAAAGATAAATCACAAATTTTCAAATAAAAAAACAGAGATAGTCAAGTAAATACATTTCTTCTAGGGTTGGCCAAAAAGTTTGTTTGTTTGTTTTCCCCATAAGATGGCTCTAGGAGAGCTTAGTTGTCATTAACTTCATTTGAAACAATTTTGTTTGATTGTGACAGCTGTCAGTCACGTCGATGTGCATTAAAAAAATTATCAAAATTGGTGAATTTTTGTAGGCCATTTAAATATTGAAGATGGAAGAAATATGCAACATTTTTTGACATATTATGCTTTATTATTTCAGGAGAGGTAAAAATGCAAATGAATGCATAAAAAGATTTGTGCAGTGTATGGAGAAGTTTCGGTGACTGATCGAACGTATCAAAAGTGGTTTGCAAAATTTTGTGCTGGAGATTTCTCCCTGGATGATGCTCCATGGTCAGGTAGACCAGTTGAAGTTGAGAGTGATCAAATCGAGACATTAATTGAGAACAACAACGTTATGCTACACAAGAGATAGCTGACAAACTCAAAATATCCAAATCAATAAAGTTATTGGTGAAGATGAAAAATGTGTTTTTTATTTTATGGAAAAACTGAACAGGCTTCTTGGCCAACCCAACAATATTTCTTTAGTTGTTTTGAGTATGTTTATGCATGCTCTCTTAAGAGCTGAGTTCCCTGGAAGTTACATTGATTTTTTTGGATTCTTTGACTGATTTTTTCTTATTTGGGATTTTGACGATAATACAATCAGAATTTAATATTTTGATTTTTCCAACATCCCAAGACCACATTCTCTTTAAGCATTCCAAGAAAAGAATTTCAAGGTTCTTTGAGGTTTTTCCCTCCTGTGATTTTAAGTTCAAACCAAACAATTGGGTTTATCCTATCATCACTTTATCTAAGAAAGCTCTACCAGAAGCAGTATTTGGTTCACTTTTTTTTTTTTTTAGCCCATCTCCTCTAACTTTGAGTCAGCTCAATCTTCACCTTTTCTGTGGAATCTTTTCCTGATTTCCTGAGGAGGGGGTGGACAACTCTTCCCTTTGCGTTTTGCTCCTACTGGTATCCCACCTCTTCACAGCATATGTATGTAACACTGATGTGTATGCGGGCATGTGAATTTATAGGGAGCTCACTGCCATCTGGTGGAGGAGATGAAGATGTAGCATAGATCCATTTCATATAATGGCACTGTATATTTACATGAAATGTCCACAGCATTTCACGTGCAACATAATATTTATTGAGTGTGTGATAAACATTTCTTAAATAATGACTTTTATATTAGGAAACAGTACAATATAGTGTAGGGTAGGAAAAAGTTTTCTTCTATATCCTTAGGGCCCTGGCTGGGTCTGAAAATTAAACTGAAAATTAAACTGACAGACAGATTAATAGGAGAAAAGTGTACAAATTTATTTAATATAGGTTTTATGTGACATAGGAGCCTTCATGAGGAAATGAAGAGCCAAAGAGACAGTTAGACCTGAGTATTTTCTGCTAGGTTTGATGAAGAGTGGACAGGTGTGGAGAAATATACAGTAAGGAGTATGAGCTGAGTGTAGCAAAGTGGAGAAACTTAGCAAGGTCTGTTTCTTCGCATTCTTCTCCGTGTCCATTTGTCTTTGGAGGTGAAACTGCTCCTTTCCTTCCGGTGGAGGGAGGGCACCTCTTGCAGAAGGGTTTTATGACATATATCATAGGAGAAGGGTAGAGGTTGGGGGAAAGGTCAGAATGGCATTCTTCTCCTGTTTTCTCAAACTCCTTAAGCTTAACATATTCAAGATGCTAAGGTGCCATATTTTGGGGTAATATGCCCTGAACTCCATCATTAGTAAGGATTACTCAAATGCCCCGTGAGAAACTCTTCAATATTTTAATAGCTGCTCTATGGAAAAAGGATTTAATGGTCAAATTAATTTGCATAAAGTTAATATTACAATGTATTTTAAGTTCTTCCTGCAATACTTCTCAAAACTCGTAATGGGCTGATGAGCATTTGTGAACTCTCCAGAAGTGAATCCAGTGTGCAGCATTTCCTAATTTTACTGGCTGTACAATTCCTTCCTCTCTACGCACCACCCGACACAATCTGGAGACACTGATTTCATGGTTGAGGGTAAAGTCTGATATCAATGTCATTACATGTTAATTGCCTGATTTAGGGTCATCTCTTTAAACCTCAGTGTCCTCTTATGCAAAATGTGGATAAACTCGTATCTCTTATAGTTGTTGGCACAATAAAAGGTTTATAGAATTCCCAGGAGTTCAGTAGATGCTAGCAATTAGGATTGTTAATGATAGTATGTCCAGGAGCTGACTACTCATCTTTAGATTTCCAGCGCTTTGACGTATACTGGATCTGAAGCTGAGTTGATCTTAGGCTGTTACACACAGCTCAGCTTTAGCATGCAGGTGGGCAAATGGCTTCCCTACTACCTTTATCCTTTGCCCTTTAACAGGTTATGAGTCAGAATTAGATCAGTCCTGTTCTGGGCATGGTCCTGCTGCTTACAATCTTCAAAAATGAGACAAAAAAAAGAAATGAGGTCGAACTAGATAAACTCGAGCTCATGCTCTCTGAAATTCTAAGGTAGAATGGAAGTAATTCTCGACATGTGTTGTGTGTGTGTGTGTGTGTGTGTGTGTGTGTGTGTGTGTGTTTCCTAACTGGGTGGATAAGCATGAAAGTCCTTATCACACACCCGTTAATTTTTTTTCCACTTAGAAAACCCACTTTAATTCCCATCAACTTTTTTGATATGAAGGAATTTGACTTCTGTTAATCTGTTATTTTAGGTCACTATATTGGTTATTATATATGATTACATAGCATTATATACTGGAATTTATGCCTGAAAATCATTTTGATACATTCTCCCCCTCCACAGCGCCACCCACCCATCTGTTTATGAGCAAGGGCAGCCGTGGGGTGGTTCCCTATGTAGGATTAAGAAACACTGAAGTTCTTGAAATAAGCCAGCTGTTTTTATTTTCAAAAAGGAAAATCACACCTAGAGAAGAATTTATTTACAAGCTTCACAACAAAACAAAAGATTAAGACTTCCCAGGAACACTGGTCAGGGAAAACATCCAAACTCCACAGCTTTCCCAACTCCTGTGCCTAGAGGACATTACAGAAGACGCAGAAAAACTGATCTTGTGCTGGTTGTAAAACTTTGTAGATTAAGATGATAATGATCAACGATTTACAATAATTACAATAAAAGTTGCAATATGAAGAGAGACTCCTGCCTTGACTTGGTGTGTCAATCGACTAATACACAAGAGTGTTTTAAAAAAGGTATTCTTTAATTAGTGTTAATGGAGACTTCAGGAATATTTTTGGGAGCGATTTCTTCAAAACAGAAACAAAACAACGACGTTTCTAAAACCGAAAGTGAAAACTGTTATAACTTGCTAGTGATCACGCCTTAGACACAGTAAATTCGGTGTTCCGGACAGCCTTAGAGGAAAACCACCATTTGAGCAGACTCGTTCTTTTTTTAAGAAGCCAAACCGTTAATCTGAGCGACACGCACTCGCGGTCTAAGGCAGCGCCAACCTCGGGGACGCGGGCCCCTCCGCCCTGCGCCCCGCGGTTCTGCAGACTCCCGTGCCGGCTTCCGTCGCGCGGCGCCGCACGAGGTTTCCGGGAAGGGGGGGCTCTTTGGACCTAGGGCGCGACGCTCGGCCGGCGGAGGCAGGTGAGTGGGCGCCCCGTTCCCCGACTGCCATCCCTGCGCCTAGTAGTCTCGGGCTGGAGGCTCTGATTGCGGAGGGAGGCGAGTGCCGCGAGGCCGGGGACAGCAGGCGCGAGGAGCGACGGTCCGAGGGCGCCCCCGCGGGGACTCTGCGGCCCCCGCCCTCCTGCGCCCCGCCGCGCCCCCGTGTCCTCTTCCCCTGCTGCCCTGAGCTGCCCGCTTCCGGGGCCTCTGCGGCGCGGTGCCATCGAGGGGGCGCCCCTGCCCCCGGGCCCACTTTGCCTTCTCTTTGCCTTCCTGGTCGCTGACCCCGTCTCCTTAGTTTGTTTTGCTTCTTTCCGGAAATTGAAACTTAAAATGGTTTGTGTTTCCCCACTGTTCCTGTGGTGTTTCTCCGGATAGTTCTTAGAAAAACTGATTCCTTAGGGAGGTTTACTCTGGCAGGCGCAGGGTTTGGCAGTCGTGCCTCCCTTTTCAGAATATGCAGGGGTGTTCCTGAGAGAGTTCTATCTAAAGGAGGATATGATGTTTCCCTGTTTGCATAACACACATAAGTATTTCTAAAATTGTATTTTATTTCCATTAGCAGGTATCCCTCTTATACCTTTTCCCACCATACACATGTTTTTAAAAAGCTATTTATATGTATCACCACTTTACTAACCCCCACTTTCTTCCTTTCCTGCCCTCATTCTTTTTGCTACCGGGCATGCATTTGGGAACATTCGATTCCCTCTGGCCGCCACTCCACTGATACGAGGGTATTAGGGGAACAGGGAGTAGGGGGGAGAAGGCGATTTGTGTTGCTTTTTCATTTGCCTGAGTAACAAATTACCAAGGATTTAGCATCTTAAAAGCCACACATTTATGATCTGTCGGTTCGAAGCCCAAACTGGCCTCACTGGGCTAAGATCAGTGTGTCTGTAGGGCTGCCTTCCTTTCTGTAGGCTGCGGGGATAAACCTGTTTTCTTGCCTTTTTCTTCTTTTTCCAGTTTCCCATCTTCCTTGGCTCAGTGGTGCCCTGTCTCCATCTTCAGAGCTAAGTCACCTGTCCCTGACGGTCCTGCTGTTGTCACATCTCATCCTGACTCCGCTCCACCGAAAATTCAGGACGATATCCATAGTTTAAAGACAGCCGACCAGCAACCTTACTTCGGTCTACAACCGTAATTCTCCTTAGCAATAACCTAACGTAGTCACAGATTCTGGGGATTAGGAGGTGGACACCTTGAAGGGGGCAATCCATCTGAATGCACAAAAGGAAGGCTGTACAGTACGTCTGCTCATGCAAAGACAGCATTCAGATACTAAATATGCCATAAGAAGCTCTGGGGATAGAATGTAGTGGACCATTTATATGAGTTAAATATATTGATAGCCTTTGATTACAAGTTTTTAAGAATATTGATTTTAAAAGGCATTTCAATAATGTTACAGTTTCTGCTTTCTGGAAGTGTAATAAGAGAATTTCATATGCCTGGGATTCCTGGGCAGAACAAATATGTGGATCAAGATCCTGCATAATTCTATAAATTTTGAGTGTTTTCAGTGTGTAAACTTGCATTGCGCGTTGGTGGGTACAAGAAGGAGTGGACATGGTCCCTGGTCTCAAGGTCATGACCATCTATCTATCTAGTCAGGTACACAAATGACACAGGTACACAAACAATTAAAACTCCCCAAAAGAGGGAGACACACCATCCTTTTGGAGGATCAGAAAAGGCCTCAAGAACTTGTGGGGAAATTTGGGATAGACGTTGAAGAACAGTTTGAACTCATTTCAGACTTACAGACGACAAGTGGCAAGTACAGTACAATTTTTTGTCTGAATTATTTGAGAATGTTTCCAACTTCATTACCCATTACTCTGGAATTCTTGAATATGTCTTTCCTACAAAAAGGTGTTCTCTACATAACCACAATACAATGATCACAATCAGGGCATTAATGTTGAACATTACAGCCATCTAATTCTTGGATCCATTTCTCAGGTGGCCAGTTGTCCCATTAATATCCTGTATAGCAAAGAGACTCAGTTCAGAATAATATGTAGCATTTAGTTGTGATGCCTTTTTAGTTTCCTTCTGTCTGGCACAATTTCTCAGTCTTTCCTTGGCTTTTATGAGCTTGACACTTTTGAATTTATGTAATGATCCTTCATGCTTAGATTCAGATCGAGTGTCTTTGGCAGCAGTATCAAAGAGGCTGTGCTGTGTTCTCGGTGCGCCCATTCAGACGGCACACGATTTGACTTATCTCATTACTGACTTTGATTATTTCATTATGGCGGTGTCTGCCTGGCTTCGCCACTGTCAAGTCACTCTTTTCCCCTTTGAAGTTAATAAGTATTTTGTGGGGAAGTATTTTGCAACTTACAAAATGGTCATTTGCTCCCCCCAATTTTAATTTATTTACTTACATGAGTATGGATGCATAGTTTTTTTGTTTGTTTGTTTTTTTACTGTATTCTGGATTTAATCATTACTGTCATTATTTACTTTTTACGCTTAATTTTCTCACACATTTGGTCAGTGAGAACTTCCTCAGGCAGGATCCTTTGTCCTCATCGTTTGCTGAGCACTTCCTTGCTTTCAGTCACCAAAAGCTGCTCTCTTGTGCTTCTCCTGTCTCCATCCTAGAAATGGCGAAAAGACCACAACAGTCTTTTAAAATGGAACATGACATTATGATTGAGCTGTTAACTGCAGAGGAATGTTAATACATATTCTATTGCTGCGTTGAAAAGCAAAGGATTTGTAGAACCTTTTTATCTATTGATAGCTGTAAAGTTATTTGAAATATAGACTTTATTCAGATGGCTATAAGCCACATGATAATACAGACTTTGATGATAGGAGAAAAAGTATAGATAAGAACAGATGTGTCTTCTGTAAAAGTGTCAAAGTTTTCTTATTGAGTTTGTGTGTATACTCTTTATAAAATATTAAAAATTTCTCATATTAGGGAATCATGGCAGCTGATGAAAACAACAAAAAACAAGTTCTCAAGGAGGATTTGCTAGATGAAGAACTTGTGAAAGACAAACAAACTCAGGTAAAAAGGAAAAGTTACTGGGTATTATTAAAAATTAATTTATATACATTAGTTTTGCGGTGAAGCATGTTTCATATGTCTTTACTTACCATTACCTTGACTTTGGGAGTATATTAAGGTTTTCAAAATATCTTTACTTTCATTATTCAAACCTTACAAGAAAAATCATATTTCTATTTTTCCTTTTACAGAGCCTACAACATTACTGCTTTTTCACTCTCTCCCTTAGTTCTTCGATTTACGCCTAAAAGTTATGAGCTTAGTTAACAATGATCTGATCAGACTCAAGAGGGAAGGGAAGGCTCAGGTAGCTTAAACTATTTACCCGAGGCCTTATGTCTGACATGTGAAGGCAGCAAAAAAATCAGCGTATTTAAGAAATTGCCCAGAGTAACATATGTGCAATTTAAAAATCATATCGTAGTCACCAATAGCTAGGAAAGGAGTTGATAGAGCACTTGACTTAGACTCAGATCTGGGTCTCGATCCTTGCTCTACTATGAACATTTCTGAGTGAAAATTTCTATGTGAAAGGCAGTTTCCTTGTTTGTAAAATGGATATATGAATATTTGGGAGTGGTATGAGATGATGTAAAATATTTAACAAATTTATTGATTCACGTGATTGTGTTTATTCTGAAACTGTCTAATGTTTTTCTTCACTTTGTTCAGGGTGAGAGAAGTTTAGCTTCTTTAATTCCTTTAGAAAAATGAGGTCAGTAGCTGTTTAAATTTTTGATGCTATTTGATTTTTAAAAATTTCTTTTTAGGAATTAATTGATGAGATGTTAAAGGAGAATAATTACTTAAAGACAGAGATCCAAAAGCTTAAAGATGAGTTACAGGAGACCATCGGAAACTCTCAGGTACCTTTTTTTTATTTTATGTATCACATTTTTTAATGACCTCATTTTTCAGAAAAGTTTATTATATAAAGTTATCTTTTAAAACATTATGGTCATCCATGGCACCACTCTTTGTAATAGTCCCAAAGTGAAAACAACCCAGTGTCCCTCCGTAATAGAGTGAATGAATAAGTTGGGGTGTACTCACACAATGATATACTACACAGCAATGAGAATGAACAGATTACAGCTACACATGGATGAACTTCATGAACACACAAAAAGATAAAAGAGGGCATACCGTATGCTCCCATTTAAATATAGCACAAAAACAGGATATTAGAAGTTAGCATGGTAGGAACTACCAGGTAAGAACTAGAAGGGAACCCAAGAGGCCTGTGGGATGTTGGTTGTGCTTGTTTTTGATCTGGGTGCTGGTCACACTTGTGTGAGCACTTTGTGAAATTTCATCTGGCTGTACACTTATGATGATGCACTTTTTGTATTTATGTATACATTAATGAAATTTTCAAAAACAAAAAAGCAATAGTCATTATCAATCACTTTTGGACCAAATTCTTGGTTTTGGTATTTGATTTTTTCGCTCTCCTCATCCAGGGTGCTACAGTATTTTAAATGAGCTGTACAGTTAAAAAAAAAAAAAAGGATGTATGTCTTCACCATTAGTCTCTCCTAAATTTTCCTGTATTTGAATTAGACATAAATTTCGCCCCTTTTTCCCATCACAGCAACTCATAATTGTTTCTTTATATGATTTAAATGGTTAAAACATTGTCACTTTTTGTTCCTGAAAGGGAGTATAGGATATTGAATATCAGGAAGTGAGGCTTCCTGTGTTTATGGGACTTAGAGAAGACTGTTAAGATTCTGGTTACCTCAGACTGGAGCCAGAATCATTTACTCTTAGACCTCAAAGGGCCTTGAGAAAACAGCCAGCTCAGTTGATCCACTTTACAGAAGACTGAAGTGGACCAGAGGGCATAAGTGAATTGCTTTCTGCCACACTGTGCTCAGGACTAGAATCACTCTTACTCTCACTCCAAAAACTCCAGACTTTTCTGGGTATAGACACACCTCAGAGATACTGCGAGTTCAGTTCCAGAGCACCGCAGTAAAGCGAATATTGCAATATACATGAATCATGCGAATTTTTTGTTTCTCAGTGCATATAATAGTTATGTTTACACTATACTGTAGTCTGTTATTAAGTGTGCAATAGCATTATGCCTAAAAAACAATGTAATACCTTAATTAAAGAATACGTTATTGCTGAAAAATGTTAACCATCATCTGAGTCATCGCGAATCATAATCTTTTCGCTGGTGGAGGGTCTTACCTGCAGTTTGTAAAGTACACAGTACCTGTGAACTGCAATAAAGCAATGCACAATAAAACAAGGTCTGTCGGTATACTGCATTATCTCCATATTAATGAGAAACACCGTGCCTTTTCTCAGACATTACCGATTGTTTTGAAATTGAAATTATGGTAATCAGAAATTCTACTCAAGTCACACGTAGATATATAATGAAGATAAGATTAGATCAAATGACTCAATGAATATTACTACTTTCTTCATGATAACAACTTTTATTTCAGCGTGTAAATAACCATTGGAAATAGACGTCAAACTCATTTGTGCATTTATGTGTAGCTGTATAGGTCTGTTGATTCCAATCATTTTGAGCAGCTAAGTATAACCACTTAACTTTATCCTCCAGATTATCTTGGTGATAGGGTCCCTTCACATTTTTATAAACCCAAGTTGTGGTAATTGTTCAAAAGTTGATAGGCAGATGTAGGAAAGAGAGGAATTCAATTTGATAAATTTTAAATTATGTAATTCAGGAGTCTATCTTTTTGTATGAAATTGTCTGGGTTTGCTATCAGATTAACTGTAGTGTACTCCTGACTCCATTTCATATCTCTTTGCAGTAAGAGTAAACGTTCTGTCTAATGACTCCTTGTAAGCTAGCCTATTATTGGCACAGTTGTTTAAAAGGTATTTATCTATAGGAATGATGTAGTCTTTAGAATCAAACACCATACTATGTCGACCCGTTTAAATATTGATCAGGAAAAGTGAGTGATTATATTCTTATAATTCCATCTATGAAATAAGACTAAAAGATCAGTACCCGATTACATTACTAAGAACTTACCAGGGCAGGAGCAATTACTAAAGTTATTAAATAAGACCACACTCAGTATTTTGTGGGGCTCTGAGTCAGTGGAGAATGAATGATGGGATGATCAGGTCACATTATCACTGGAAGGATTTCAGTTTTTTCTTGTCTTGATTTTAATCAAACATTTCTGTTTGGATTAGATCAAAGAGGACATTCCAGAAACAAAGATGAAATTCACATCTTTAGAGAATCCTGAGAATGAGAGCCAGTTTTTAAATATCTCCTGTTCATTTCAAGTGAGCTCACCAATTCCTTATGAGCTACACAAAGGAGAAGCGCTCATCACCTTCGAAGAAGAAGAGGGTATGACGTGTTCAACAATATGACCTAGTTAACTTTGGAAAGCACCTGCGCTTACAAAGAGCTTTCATAGATCTTTGGCTTTTGTTTTACAATTTTTATACATACTATTTCATCTCATCCTCATAGTGAAACTCTGAGGCGGGTATGATTATCCCCATTTCACAGATGAGAAAACTGAGATGGTAAGTGACTTGAATAGGATCACTCATTCAGAAAGCAGTGCCTCAGAGACTCAAGCCCAAGGGTCGTGATGTACAATACCAGCATATTTCTATTCTACCCGCTATCTCCAAATGATCATACTAGAAATAATATTTTAAGGATGCACAGCTCAGCACAGTTCTCACAGACATTATCTCATTTTATACTCTTGTGAGTCTCTGAAAGCAATAATATAGGAGAGTTACTGTTTATATTTTCTAGCCAAGAAGACAGATTCTCAGGTGTTTAAGAGATTTACCAAAGGGCACAGGACCAATGGGTGGACAGGGCCCAGGAGTCAGAGATGTGGGATGGGACCCGACGTTTGCTAAGTCTGCCATGCTGGGGGCGCCTTACTGAGGAGAATCTGGCTTTGAGTTCTATCTTTGCCCCTTTCTACAAGTGTGATTTGAGTTGGGTTCTTTATAAATCTCAGATTTTTATGACAGGCTTTCTGGTCATACCTGCCTCATGGGATTGCTTTGAATGTTAAATGAGAAATGCTGATAACATACCCAGCACAGTGTCTGACACATTATAAACAGTAGATGTTAGCTGTCATTATTGCCCCGTTAGGAATTTTCCGAGTAAGGAAAGATCAAAGAAGACAAGGAACTTGCTCAAGGTCCATACAAGCTAACAAATTGCAGAGCTGAGATGCAAACCCTGGGTACCCATCTACTTTCTCCTGAACCAACATTTTTCTGAGCAGCCACCTTATGTCAAGTTTTGGGTCTCCACAAGCCCTTCAAGTACTCAGATGCTGAGAATGTATTACTGTAACTCATGTCTTTTGATTCCTGGTCCATCACTATAGCCTGAAAATAAGTGTTAGAAGGAAAGGGATTCAAGGGGTCAAAAGGTACAACCTTACAGATATAAAAGAAAGAACTCATGAAAAGGAAGAATACACAGCGTGACAACTATGGTCAGCAATATTCTATTGCATATTTGAAAGTTTCCAAGAGAGTAAATATTAAAAGTTCTCACCAGCAAAAAATTTTTTTGTAACTTTTTATGGTGGCGATGGTAACTAGACTTAGGGTGATCAATTTGCAGTATGAACAAATAGAGAATACAATGTTGTACACTTGGAACTAATATAATGTTCTATGTCAGTTTTACCGCAGCTGAAAAAAATCAATGGCTCCCTAGCAGGTCTGTGCCTATCCGTAGGGTTGATTCACCCTGGGTCACCCCATACAGCTGAGGGTGGAGGCGGAGGCCTAGAGCCATGCTGGCAGTTAGACATGGTTATTGGGATTAACGGGGAAGACTGAAGTGAGGATTTGGGAGGCAAGGGATTCTACACGGGAATTTCCTGGGAATGCTGCAAATCTTCCACTGTAGGCTTGGCTCTCCGGTCCTGCTCTCCTGGGACAGCTTTGGGTTTATACAATTATTAGGATTTGGCTTTCGATGGTCAGCGTCACAGAAGTTGAAACACAAATGATTACTCTCAGCTGAGTCAGACCACCAGATGTTGGAGGTTTGGGTGTAGGGAGTGGAAGGGAAGGAGTATTCTCTAAGCATTACTTCACTGATACTTTCTGTTACTGTTGCCTGTTGTCATTACCAAAAAAAGTCAAAATTCAAGTTATAAAGTCATATGGTACGATGATTGTGAATTCCCCCATGACAACGCCCTGTCTTCTAACCCAGTTTCTCTCTTCCCACAGCTGTGGTGTGCTGGTTGATTGTCACATGTACGCTTTATAAGACCAAAAATGGGCATTTCTTATCTTCATAACAAATCAGAGCAAGCAGCTCCAAATATTAAAAACTGAAGTGTTATAATCTCTTACAACATAACCTATAAAGGTTTTCCTAACTTACTCAACCTGGAAGAAATTTCTAGCTGTGCTTTAATGTTCTAAGGGATTTCTCTGGTAATTCTGTCAACAGTGGAAAGGGAGGGTGTGTGACGGTACTGAAATGATATGAAATGATGTGTGCACTTCTGAAGAATTTATCAGCCTTATCTCTTAAGAGATAAATCTAGAACTTGATGAAAATTTCTACACTGTAATTTTTGCTGACGTATTTTGACATTAATATATCCTACTTGGATGGCAAGACCATTATCACTTGGAAATGCTAAGAAAAGTTGAAAAATTAGATCCTTTAAAATAAAAAAAAATTTGAAAATATTTAGGATAATTTGTTCTTAGGCCAGAAGGGCAAAATATATTGAAATATTGGAAATTAATACTTTCCATATTATTTTTCAGTTGCCCAAAATGTGATCAGAATGGGAAAACACCATGTGCAGATAAAGGATATAGATGTGAAGGTTATGGCCAAGCCAGTTCCATTAAAACCAGGAGTCAGATTCCAGGTAACATGGTGATTAAAGGTCTTCAGAGTTCTGTTAAACACGGACACTGTTCTCATCCATATCTCTGAATATGAAATGATTTCCCAGATTCATGTAGAAGTGTCTAAAGTGAAGATCAGCGTTACTGACATTCCTGGTGCATTGCCTGAAAATCAGATGAGAGACAAGCTAGAGCTGAGCTTTTGTAAGTCCCGGTACGGAGGCGGAGAAGTGGAATGTGTGGAGTACAATAAGCAGGCCGGAAGTGCTGTCATCACGTTTGTGGAAAGTGGAGGTATTCCCACATTTAAAATGTTAAAAAAAAATACCCTACCATTTAAGTCATGTTCTGCAATTTCTAAAAATATTCCTTTTCTACTTCCTTTATTTATAATTTATTAGACATCATAATAGGGGATTTTTAAAAGCCTTATAAAATAGTCGAGTCCTGAAAATCATTTTCATGAATGTTACTGAGAATGGTAATATTACAAGTAATGAGAACATGCATTTTAGTGCATCTTCATCATGTGCTAGGCATGGAGCCAGGTGTTCTGTACATTTGTGTCCTTTGATCTTCAGCGCAGCTCTGGAGGTAGATGATATACTCATTTTATTGATGAGCAAACTGAGGCCTCGGGAGGTGAGGAACTAACCAGAGATCATGCAGTGAGTGGTGGCAGATAAATTTACATTTATATATATTAAATAAATATATATATTAAAATGTCTTATCCCACCTATTAGGACTGATGGGGGTCTCTTAGGCAGAGAAAATCGATAACAGGGAAGACAAGGGGACTTCCTGGAAAAGAACAGACTAGACATCTGTCCCGTTTTTTTAGGTAGAAATGAACTTTTACCAAATTATCTTAGGAGGGCCTACATTTTTAGGATAAAAAGTAGAAGATTCCACAACTGCTTCTGTTAATATGTTCAAGTGATTCTCAATGTAAAAATCTGTTGCTGTAGTTCTTAGGGCTTCTCTGGGGTTTGCAAGTTTGCAGTTAGAACGCATTGACTGATGAGGGTTTTTTAATAACAAAATAATCCATGCTTTCTAAAGAAAATTGAAATAATAGAGAAGAGCAACTAATTCAGCAAAAATTGAGACATTTCCTTACCTTTCTCCTACTATGTAGTTAGTTATGGTTAGATCTTTCTGGAATTGTTGGATCCTGTAGTAATTCTGTGTTATGTTTTGAGAAACTGCCATACTGTTATCCACTGTGGCCTCACCTTTTTACATTCCCACCAGCAATGCACTGCGGTTTCAGTTTCTCCACATCCCTGCCAGTAAGTGTCTGCACTCTTAACCACTGGACAGACTGCTGATCCAAGGTGGACTGGGGAGAGGAGAGAAAAAAAAAACTGACTGGATATTCTTCAGAACTGTTTCTATTAAATAATTTTATACTATCTTCACACATAACCCTTTTCCCTTCTAGGAGGAAAATGCTGCTAAACATAAATCTGATCATTCTTTGTTCTGGAGAAGACTGATGAATTTTTATTATTTGCCTTTACTTTTTCTAGACAACATTCAACACTTCCTCCATCCCTTTGGTTAAAATCATTGTATCAGCTTACTGAATATCTTGTATTAGTTACAGAATAACTAACACATACATAAACACAGATGCTATAGTAATATAGTAGTTTACTATATATGAGTATACACATATATAGCAAAAAATAAAATATATAGTATTCTAATGGTTTTTCTTCATACTTCTTTAGAAACTGGGAAACAGTCTTCTTAGGATGGGTGGGGTTTTTTTTTGCAGATGATAAGTGCATGTTATGTAGCTGACTCAAGTGGGTCTGTTTGAGAATGTAGGAATCCTCTGCGCTTTGATTGACTACAGTCAGTAGTTCAAGAGAAAAGGACCTATTTAAACCTGATTATTGTGCTGTGAAATCTTTAAAGCGGATGACAATTTCTTAAAAATTAATCACTCAATTTACTGTTTGTTGTAATATTGTTCTGTTGGAAGGAAATTTTAACTTAGGTTAAAATGTTTAGGACATAAATGAAATAATTTTTTAAAAAATTTACTCCTAGTTGCTGACAAGATTTTGAAAAACAAAGACTATCCTCTTTATATAAATCAAGACTGCCATAGAGTTGCTGTTTCTCCTTACATGGAAACACACTTGAAAAAGTTCCAGGTAAAGCCATCTCTTTTCTTTCATTTTGGGAACTTTCTGCTTCACTCCACCCCACAAAAAAATAAAGAAAAAGTTTTTTGAGTCTGTTACTGTTTGAATCTTATTTTTGAGGAATATCAAAGTTGTTTCTTTGTATCTGCTTGGTACAGAATGAGTTTTGTCTTTAAAAAGAATATTTTAATGCAAAACTGTACCTGATTTAATTTGTTATACATTCTTTTAAACTAAAATTACTCAGATAACAGCATAATCTTTGTTTTTGTATGTAGATACATAGCTACATTTCTCTTGTGTGTCTACTGTCATTGGGTTTTAAAAATAATTTTTCCTGCCCATTTACTCAGAACTCACTATGTTTACCCCAAATTGGCTCCCTTGTTCTGTTCCTACTCAGGTCATAAATGGCGCCTCCATCTACCCGGTGCACCATCCTGAAAGCTAGAACTCATGCTTAACGCGTTGTTTCACTTCAGCTCAGACGTTCATTTGGTCACACGGTCTTGTCACCTTCACCCCTGACTACCGCTTTAACTGGTCTTGCTCTCAGTAGAGCTGCCCTCCTTTCCTCTGTTTAATGTCACCAGAGTTGTCTTTCTGAAACTCAGGTCTGACTCCAATATGCTGTTCCTTGAAAAATTTTCCTGAGGCTCCTTGTCTTACCTAAGATAACTCCAAAATATTAAACAGAGCTTATTAAAGTTTTACAATTCAAAGCTCTTAGAAAATATTCTATTTATCTTTTTTACTTTACTTTTTAGGTATTTTCAGGAATATCTAAGAGGACGGTGCTTCTGACGGGAATGGAAGACCTTGACATGATGGATGAGGAGAATGTAGAGGATTTAGTTGGCATTCACTTTCAGCGGGAGAAGAATGGAGGTGGAGAAGTAGATACTATCAAATGTTCTCTCCATCAACCCTACATAGTATACTTTCAAGAATAGGCTCATGGAGTCATATGACAATTAGAGCTTCTGAGCCCAAATTATCATCGGCATTAGGCAAAAATGGGTATCTTTCTCCTTAAAAAAAAAGAAAACTAATTCTCAGTGTCCATATATTTTTAGAGGCAAATACATTTGTATGGTTCTGAATGTTTCTTTGTTTCCAGCTGTGCTGCATATTTAGAAATGCAATAAGCTCACTATATTAAAAACAGTCTTGTTCATAAATTACATGGATTGGTGCCATGCCTGTTGAAATCAACCGTAAATGATACAGTTGTCTTCCTGCCATGTTGGCTCCTTCCGTCATAATGCTATGGGCCAATTCTGGTTTGGCCCCGGGTCCACCAGTATGCACATTTGACTTTGCAAGTTTCCCAAAAGAATTCTTACATTCAGCAGTTTGTAATTTCTGTAGACTGTACTGAATTTTCACGGGACTTCAAGAGTTATCACTTCCCATTTTCCGAAGAATTTCCACAGCTCCAAAGCTATTTCTCAGAGCCAAGTGGAGTTGTTTTCTTGAACTTTCCTTTACCCAGAGTGTCAAAGGCCCTTTATTCCTTCTAAGACATCTTCTCTCCAAATTGAACTTGTGAAGACCAGAATTTTCTTTCTTTTACACTTACAGTAGGAAAAATAGGTTTAAGGGATTGACAGCCTTGGAATAAAGAGAGAGGTAAATGCAAAGCTACTGGCTCATCATTCATGCTTGATGCTGGGCAACGTCTGAAGGTAAAAACACAGTACCTGCCTTTTAGCAGCTAAACTTTAGTTGGAGAGAGACCCAGTTTATTAGCATTCCACTGTGTTAACGTGAAGAAACTTTAAATGGTCAAATTCAAGGTTCCTATTCAGAGAGGGTAAAATTCTATTTGACAGAGAACTTTTGTACATGTTTTTGTCTTAATAAGGCATGTTTCATGAAGAGCCAACAGCAGAATTAAATTCGTATTAAAACGCTGGTAGAAATGAAATGCTTTTAGGAAAGATCCTAAACCTAAACCTGTTAAATGCTGCTTGCCATCTAAAATAAACGAAGAAAAGCTAAAAAAGTGCTTTGTTTTTCTTCTGATATTTTATTTTTAGGTTTTAAAGTTGTTATGCTATTATCAGAAGTAGTCATTACTCTCACATTTCTTTTGGAAGGAGAGATGGAGCCTAAAAACTGAGCATTTCTATGTCTTCATATTCATTGTTTTAGGAAAAAAAAAATCTCTCATTGTGTCAGTTGCAGAAATCTCTCATTGTGTCATTGTGTCACTTACTTTGGAAATAGTAAGATTATTTCAGCTTCCTCTATAAGAAGGAAAATTTTAAGGAGTTTATTTAATTTCAGTTGGTTCAGTCTCACTCACCCAAACAGTGTCCTTTTTACTGTGGGCAGACCGCCAATCAGAAAGGACTTCTTTCCTAATATTTAGTACAAGGTTTGAAACAATCACTTTTATTTCTTTTGGGGGCCTTCTCCAGGCAGTAAAGTAGATAATTTTATTCAATTCCAAATTTCCACACTGGCTTTTGATAAATGTCACTCATTTCAGAAAATTACACTCTTCCTCTTTTATTATACCACCCATGTGTGACATGGCTGGATTTCAGAACCAAGCATTGGCTTTCCTGCTTATTTCTAGAGTTTTAAAGATTTTACAGCAGGAGAGTTGTCTTTGAGAATTTACTGAAAGATATTAAATTAACTGTTTAACATACTGTATTTTAAGTTTGGAAAACTTAAATTGGATGTCCAGGATGAACTAGCTCTCCTCCGTGTGAGGAAAACTATTGTTAATACATAAGTCAGGAAAGATAGATCTGTGGAATTACAAGTCCTTGCTTTTTGCAGATTTATCTGTCAAAGCAGGCTAGGTTATGCCGTAATAACAAACCACCTCCCAAATCTCCGTGACCTAACAAAATAAATTTGATTCTCATTCATGTTGAATGTCCAGCACAGGTTGGTAGGGGACTCTTGTTTGTCCTAATCACTCAAGGCTCCATCTCAAATCATCTTCCAGAATCATGGAGATGAGGAAAAGTGACATCTGGACAATCTTGCACCAAGAATTTACTGTTGTGACTCAGGAGTGTCCTGTGTCATTTTCTCTCACATGCCATTGGCCAGAAATAATCACAGGGCCTCACCAAAACCTTGTAAAAATGAGGAAAGCCAGAGATCATTGAGCCAGAATAATGAACAGTGCAGCCTGCCCTGTCCTGGTCATCAGTATTTGGATCACTCTTCTTCACATTCAAAATACGCTCACTCGCCCCATCCCCAAGGGAGGAAAACAAAATATTCCCTCCAAAATTGCAGCCCACTCAAAATACATGAACTCTAGGTGATACGTGGTAGTTTCTCTGTCAGGTCTGAATGTTACTCCTTATCTACAGATCCCCCATACACAGTGGTGGAACTGTAACAAAACTGCAACACACTCTTGCATCTGGAAAGGGACAGAATAGGACAAATAGCAGTTACTGAGTCAAAGTCATTCTGAAATTTCATTGAGTAGACATGGACTCCATGTACCCTGGATGTGGAATTTTGGTTAGGCCATGATTCTACTCCCTGAAAGTCCTCTTGCTCATTGTTGTCATAGCTCCTGGACAATTCTTTTCCCATTACTTTGCTTGGACATATCTAGAATGGACATTCAAAATATATCCTTCCTGGAGGTGTAAAGCTTCCTCACTAAGTACTCACTCATTATACTTCCTATGATCAATGTTTGTGACCAAAGTTTTTGAAGTTTTGCCCAGTCGGTCTCTTTACTCCACCTGGTGGATAGTTAGCTGGCATAATTCAAAAAAATAGACTTCTTACCTATTTTTTTTGCAATTTAAAAAAGTTATTTATTTATTTATTTCTGTGAGAGAGAGAGAGAATGAGTTGTTTCACTCATTGATGCAGTTACTGGTTGATTCTTTTTTTTAAATCATATTTTATTGATTATGCTATTACAGTTGTCCCAATTTTTCCCTTTACTGCCCCCACCCAACATCTCCCCCACTCCCTTAGGTAATCCCCACATCATTGTTCATGTCTATGAGTCATGCGTGTACTCCATTTCCTGTACTGTACTTTACACCCCCATGGCTATTCTGTGACTACCTATTTGTACTTCTTAATCCCCTCACCTCTTCATCCATTCCCCCAAACTCTCCTACCATCTGGCAACCATCAAAACACCATCGGTATCCATGATCCTGTCTCTGTTCTTATGTGCTCAGTTTGTTTTCTAGATTCAATTATTGATAGATATTTATTTATTGCCATTTTATTGCTCATAGCTTTGATCTTTTTTTAAATCAGTCCCTTTATCATTTTCATATAACAATGGTTTGGTGATCATGAAGTCCTTTAGTTTTTTCTTGTCTGGGAAGTTCTGACAAGCCATTCATATGGAAAAGCCACTGTTAACAGCTTGGGTGGGCTCATATATTGGGTGGGGCAGATCCTCAGGGAATCATCAGGGCAGGGCAAACAGTTTTAGCCAGGTTGACGGAACCTCAGATATGGTACCACCTGCCAGCTCTGTGGCTCTGTTGGGGGGTTGGGTAGAAAAGGAACAATGGCCTTTGCCAGCCATTCTGTCTGGGAGAAAGCTATCCCCCCCAGCTCTCTCTCTGATGCCAGATACTTCAGTTCCCCCCATTATGCCACTGGTGCCCTTAAAGCTGTTACCCCAGTGCTGGAGCTCAGAGGGAGCGAGTCTGTGTAAGTTCATGGTGTGGGTTCTTTAAGAGGAACTGTTTGAGAACCCAGAAGTTTCTTCCACCTATCAATCTCTACTGACTTTTGCAGCCAGAAGTTATAGGGACTTATCTTCCTGGCACTGGAACCCTGGGCTGGGGGTCCTGATGTGGGGCTGGGACCCCTCACTCCTGAGATACCCCTCCTGAATTTTTATCCACCACACGTGGGTGTGGGACCAGCCCGTTCCATGTCTCCGCGTTTCCTACCAGTCTGGATGGATGTGGTTTCTTTACTCCGTAGTTGTCAGATTCCCATTCAGCTTTATTTCTGATGGTTCTGAGTCATGGTTGTTCTATAGTTTAGTTGTAATTTTGATGTGGTTTTGTGAGAATGCAAGCCATGTTTACCACAAGACCACTGACTGATTCTTGTATGTGCCCTGATTGGGATTGGAATTGTACTGGCAATCTTTTGGTTAACAGGGTGAATCTCCAACCAACTGAGCCACACTGGTCAGCGCCTGGACTTACTTTTTAAAGTTACTATAATTCTCTGTTTTCTTGGCCCCATTCTTCTCTTCCTCTCTTCACTGAATTGTGGGTATTTTGAGTTTAGCCACTTTTAATTGCTTTTTCCTGATCCAGTTTATCAAATTGCACAGTTTAATTGGTGTTTTTGCTTTGACATAACTTAATCTGTTTAGAGATTTAAACCTTGATTTAAGCATTGATTTGATCCTTGCCAGAAGGTGGCCTTTGTTACTAAGGGTCTTCTCAGTTTTATCATTTGAGAATGAGAAATATTGTTACTTCACCCCTACAAGTTCCTATATTTCTGGACTTTATTTCCTTTCATTTCTGCTTTCAAAATGGCCAACTAAAAACTCCCTTCTTTCTTATAGTACCTTGTCAAAAGCTCCCCAGAATAGCAGACATATGCTACTGTAACTTAACAGGAACTTCATTTCTTTAACATGACTTTTTCCTTAATTCAAGCTCCTGTTGTCCAGCCTCAATAGCACTACCACTCACTTGCACCCTTTCAACCAGATCCTTTCCCCTTTTGACGTGCTTCCTGTTCACTCCCCTAATCATTAAGCCCTTAGGACATCAGGTTGTAGTCAGCATCAAACTGTCTTTGAATGAAGCCTCAGGACAGAGTTTTGGTCAAAGTAAAAATAGCATCTTGACCTCAGGTGTGTTTCAGCCCCAAGCCCATGAAAGCAGAGGACCCTACAACCACACCCTCATAAAATCAGAAAGAGCTCTACCAAGACTGACACCTGGACCTGATACAATTGTTATGGGAGAATTACAGATCAGCAATCCTATTAACATGCAGGTGAAGTTTATTAGTGCTCAGTTCTAATGGGAGAGTAAAAGCAGGTGTGGCAAGAACAGAGCGGCCAGAGGCCAGGTGGCCACCACCCCGGGTGGCTAGAGAGAGTGGCCAGAGGCCACACGACCAGGGAACCTCCCCACCATGTGGCAAGAGAGTGAGTCCTTTGCTCTAAGGACTTATATATTGGTGGGCTGGGGGTGAGGAAGTTTATGTATTGATTGACAGGTAAAGGTGGTGCCAGCTTTCCCCTGGGGAGATGTGACTATCCAAAGGCAGGTATGTGTGGGGGTCTGTTAGCCAGAATCCTTATCTTGCTCCAGACTCCATTTGTTCATTTTGTATATGCAACAGGAGGCAGGCAGTTAACCAAAGTTGTTTTATGGGCTTTTTCTTTGGGCACTGTAGTCTCATCCCCTTCCTGTTTCCACACTGGGGGATGAATACATAGTCTCAAGATTTTCCTTTTCCCAACTAATGGAGATAATACACACAGATTTTCAAGGGCTCCCAGGCCCCCCGCCGCTCCTGTACTAACATAGCTTTGCTTGTGTTGTTCGGAATGCCTGGCAACCTTATCAGACCGGGCTCAGGACTGATGGGTCAATGGGTGAGACACGTCTTCCTTTGCTTCTAGCCTCCTGTAATAAGTTCTTTGTTAGATTGAAATAGCGAGGGCCCTGTCTTTATTTCCCCTCTGGCCACTCATTCCTAGCTGCCAAGTAACACAATAAACAACTATTCCCTATCCTGGCCCTGACCAGTCGGTAGAGCCCACAACCCCAATTCCCTTAGTCACCATGACTAATGATTTTTCCCCTTTATATTCCCTAGAGGCCATCAAGGGCGGGTCCTAGGCAAGCTCACTTGTGTCTCTGGGCTTGACATCATAGCCTTAAATACACCTTTACCTTCTTTGCTGCAAGCTCCTGTTGGTGTTTTAGTGGGCTTTCATGTGCGTAGACTAACAAACACCTTTAGTCTGGTAATACTACTACTTTTGTTGTTCACATACTTTACAAAAAAACAAAAACAAAATTGAAAAACCCTCACAAACTAATTAGGTACATTATCTGCCTTCCAAGCTATCATGTGAGTTTACCAAATATTCTTCCAATACATAATATGGATCACTATCTTTATAACCTCTGGTAATCATTTTCTAATTACCTCCTACTTGGTTCCTAAGCCAAGGCCATGCAGTATTTTACTTGTGTTGCGGGTTGTCTCCACTCCCATCCTTTGGCTATAACAATACTCCCATTCAGAATACCAACTTATGTATCAATCAGAATAGACCATGTGATGTTAATGTGATGAATTATTTCTAAATTTCAGAGATCCCAAACAACAGAAGTTTACTCCTTGCTCATGCTACATGTCCATGATAGGCAACAAAAAGTGCTCATGGTCGACACGCAGGGACCCAAGCTAAGAGCAGCGCCATCTTTGTTGTGGGACACCATGCTGTGGGGAAAGAACTTTGAAGGGTTTTGATCTGACAATCAAATTGTTGGTCCAGAAATGTCCTTTCCATTCATAAGTCAACTAGAACTAAGTATATGGCTCTGCCCAAAAATGAAGGAACTTGGATGTTGAATCATACAATATGCTTGGGAGGCAGAAAGCCAAAACTGTATAGTGAATAGCATTATGATATCCAGTTGATATTCAAAAAGAAAAGATGCTTATTCTTGAAAAATACACAAAGTATAATGAAGACAATAAAAATCACCAAAAATCTCCCCTCGGAGATAATGGTAAAGCATTTTTATGTCCTCCCTTCCAATCTATTTTTTTCTTTTGCATTATTAATCTTGTGATTATGCCCTATGTTATTATTTCCCTATTGTAGGCCATTAAGGTTATTTCCAATTTTTTCACATTTATAAGTGCTATGATATTCATAAACACTTGTGTTATCTTAGTGTACACATCTTTTTCTGCAGTTCTGACCTTATTTCAGCTAAGTTGACAGGTTAAAGGATATCAGTTCTTTTAAGGATCTTAATACCTGTGGCTGCAATTGCTTTCTAGAAAGGTAGAAATTGGTCTGTACTTTTATTGAGTCCAATAAAGGGCTATGTCATTTCTCCCTTTTAGCACCGGTAATACTCCTTTAAAAATTTTTCTTTTTATCCTAGTTTAAGGAATATTCACAATGTATTCCACATCTTATGAAAAAAATCAATCTCAAGATACAGGTAATGGGTTTTGTTTTGTTATTTTTTGTATCACAAATTTAAAACATTCAGGAAAATGTCAACCAATTTGATTTTACTTAAGCCGCGAGACAAAGACAAACAACTACAGTGAGACTGGAGGCCTTGTAACTGGGGCTATCAAAGATTAAAATGGTTTCTTTTTTTGGATGCAGTTTCAGTAATAAGCTGCTAGAATCATTTTGGCCACATTTGGAGTCACGTTCTCTCAAGGATAGTTTGGCACTGTAGGGGAGGAAAAAGTTTTCCTTAACCCTTTTAGAATCTGTGGCTGGATCTGGAAATTAAACTGACAAAAAGAGATTAACAGGAGAAAGTCTATAAATTTATTTGAGATAAATTTTATGTGACACCAGAGCCTACATCAGGAAATGAAAACCCAAATAAATGGTTAAACCTGAGTGTTTTTATGCGAGGGTTGATGAAGAGTGTAAAGTCACAGAAAGCGAAAAATGGTAAGACAGGGCATGAAAGGATGGTCAGCGAGGGGAAGCTTAGCAAGGCTTGCTCTTTCAGATCGCTCTCTGGGTCCCTCAGTGATTGGAGGCAGAGATCCTCCTTCCCTCAGGGTAAAGGGAGGGCGCCTCTCACAGGAGGGTTTTATCACCTATTTCAGGGGAAGTATAGAAAGTCCTTCTTGCACATGACATTCCTCATATTCCTTTAGTTTTAAAGATTCAATATGCCAAGTTATCATATTTTGGGGTAGCATGTCCCTGTCAGCACATGTAAGTTGGAAGAATTGGCACACACAAGGCGAAGGGTTGCTCTATCCCCAGTTCCATGGCCCTGATGGGTAGACCTGCATTCTCTGCTAATGCTTGGACTCTCATTGTTCCCTACAAAGGATCCCTACTTGGACTGTGGTGCTCATGTCCACCTACAGTTAATCTTTGTTCCCACCTGCAGCCCAAGCCACCACTTTTGTACGTTCTTTTCTTCATATACATGAATTTTCTGGTTAAATGGAATTGTACAATACATAGGCCGCTAGGTCTGGTTTCTTTCACTGAGCATGTTTTGAACTTCATCCTCATTGTAGCATGTATAATATTTCAGTTCCTTTTATTGCTGAATAGTATTACATTGCATATGCTATATACGTATACGGCATTTGGTGTATCCTTTAAGCAATTGATGGCCATTTGGGTTATTTTCACTTCTTGGCTATTATGTGTAATGTTATGAGTATTTGCATGTCAGTCTTTGTTTGGACATGTTTTCATTTCTATTGATTAGTAATCTTAGAGTGAATTTCTTGGTCATATGGTCAATTTATCCTTCAGGTTTTAAGAAACTAATGAAATGTTTAAAAGGCAACCGTAACATTTTACTTTCCCACCATGTATGAGAGTTTCATTTCTCCATATTCTTGACATTTGTTATCTGTCTTTCTGATTACAGCTATTTTAATTTGGAGTGGTTTTAGTTTATATTTCTTTAAGGACTAGCGATGCTGAGCATATTGTCATGTGCATGTTATCCATTAATGTATCTTCTTTAATTAAATGTCTATTTAGTTTTTGTCCATTTATAATTGTATTGTCTTATTTTTGAATTGTAAGAGCTATTTGCACAGTCTGGATACAATACCTTATCAGATATGTGATTTGCAAATATTTTTATGGTGTTCTTTCATGGTAGTGTGATATTGGGTTGACCAAAAATCTATTGTTTTTTTTTCCTGTAAAATAAAAGACACATATTTCATTTTCCCCAATAACTTTATTGATTTGGATATTTTGAGCATGTAAACTCTCTCTCGCATGGTTATCAATTGATGTCTCGATTTGATTGCTCTCATCTTCAACTGGTTCACCCAACTGTGGAGCATCATCCACTGTGAGCACCATCCAGCAAGAAATCTCCAGCAACTTGGCAAACCACTTTTGACACGTTCCATCAGTCACAGCACCTTCTCCATACACTTCGCAAACTTTTTTGTTTTGCTTTTCAGTTGTGCTTTTACCTTTCTTGAAATAATAAAGCATAGTATGCCAAAAATGCTGCTTATTTTCTTCCGTCTTCAATATTAAAATGGCTATACAGAAATTCACCAATTTTGATTTTTATTTTTTAATGCATCGCTACATGACAGCTGTAACAATACAATCTAACAAACTTGTTTCAAATGAACTTAAAGGCAACTAAGCACTACTAGAGCCATCTTATGGAAAAAAACAAGTGAACTATTTGTCCAACCCAATATATTAGTAAGATTATGCTAGGTAATATTGTTGAAAAAAAATTTGGTGGCTTAAAACTTCAGTTTTATTTCTCATTCATGTAAATTTTGTTATGGATCCAGGTAACTCGCAAGTGCAATTGTGTTCTCTATGTTGGCTCAGGGAAACACATTCTCTTCAATACATGAGCGCCAAGACAAAGAAGAGAGCCTTTGAGACCCTTGGGGCTGGCAGTGAAATGCTTCCACCCAAATATATGAGATGAGTCTGTTCTCATTTTTTCATTGGCTGCCTAAATCATATGATCATGCCTAACCTCAAACAATGAGTGAGTAAAGGTTTTCCTGCAATGTGCTGGAATGGAGAACAGCGAATACTGGCGAGCAGTATTAATGGCTACCATGGGGAGAGACAAGCAAGATCCCAGTTTTTAAAATAAATATTATGTGCATTACAAGCAATGCACAACTAGAATGTCTGTACCATATCTTAGTTCCACTTGTGCACTATAACTTCAGTGCCGTTCTGGAAGTGGAATTTCTAATCTAAGAATATGAGCATTTTTACACTTTTATTTTTCATTTTACACTTTGAAAGGGGCCAAAATCCTAGAAATGTTTGCACCTATCTAGGCTTGCAGTGACATTGGTACTGCCTAACACTTTGGCTACCACCAGGTATTAGCACACTTCATTTTGTGCCAATCTAATCGTGGATAAAAGGGATCTCATGATTTCAATTTGTATTTCTTTACTTAGGAGTGAAATTGAGCTTCTTCCTAGTTGCCAACGATTTGCCTTTTTCTTCATGCTTTTTTCTTTGACTTTGAAGCTGTGTATGTAGATTCTCTGGGTCCTCCCAGGTGCCAGACTCGAGTCTGAGCCTGGCGTGGTAAGGATGGTGAGCTCTCTGCTGACAGGGACCCTGCACTTTCTCATCCAGCGCCCTGTGCACCTGGCTGTGGCCCGCGACTGGCCCTGGGCTGGGCAGGCGACAAAGAGGAGGCACAGTGTGGTGTGGTGAGAAGACTGCTGGGGACAGAATGAGGGCGTAGGAAGGAGGATGAGATTCCATTGAGCACAGGACAGGTCCTGGAGAATCCCCGAATTCCCGTCGGGGAATCCTGCCTTCATTCTTGCACATTTTCAACAGGTGGGACACTATCGAGCGCATCCGGGGTCCGAGCTCCCGCCCCGAGGCGGGGAGGTCGCCGGCCAGCAGAGTGGGGTTGAAGGGCCGCCAATATCTTGCAGGTCTCCAAGCGAGTGGGGGAAAAACAAAACAAAACAAAACAAAACAGAAAAATCGAAACCAAAACCTGCCTGCTGGTCCCGCCCCGCCGTCCGCGCTCCCCTAGATTGTTGTCGGTCCTGCCAACAGCCGAGGGCGCGTCTCTCCTCTGCCATGGCAAGTTGCTTTTGCTTATGCAGGGCAGGGTCATCCTGTTCTTTCGCTACAGCCCCCTAGAAGGACGCAGAGCCGGGTGGGGGCGGGCGAGGGTGCGGGGCTGACCTGGACAGCGTTGCGGAGGGGCCTGGGGGCGGGGGCAGAGCCGCCTGCTGCGGAGGAACACCCTCCAGCAAACGTCTCCCTGCCTTTCTGCACCGGCCCGTGTGGCACCTCCACGTGCCTGAAATTCACAGCGGGCTGTGTGGGAAGCGCAGCTCCAAAGGGACGGGACCCCGGGAGCAGATCCCGCTCTCAGTGCCCCGTCGGCCAGGGACACAGCTGTTCAGTCAAGGAGTCGCGATGCAGTCTGTGCTAGGGCTTAACCGTCGTCCCCTGCCCGCCCGCGCCCCGCTCCCCTCCCCCAGCCTCGGTGAACAGGAGTGGAAGTTAACCAGAAATGGCAGCCACAGTTTCCTTTTGAAAAGGGCCAGCAAGGATTCGAGGCAAGGATGCTAGTTGAGAAGGCATCCAGATTGATGCCTCTTCTGAATTACAGAGAATGTGGGGATTTTCTCTTGTGGCCTTAGTGCTTTCTCTAAACAAGGGCTCTGTGTTTTCACCCTCTGTGCTAGCTATCAAGAAGAGTCAGCAAATTCAAGAGTTAGCCTTCGCTTTGCCTTGGCCATCAAGCGTTTGAAAGCAGTGGCAGGGCCCCGGAAATGGCAAAGCAGGGTGAGATGCAAGTGAGGTTTTGTTTAACGGGTGGCAGTAAAAGGCAATTTCAGTGAAAACGAACAACTGATTTTAAGAAATATAAACAAAAGCAGTGAACTGATACAATTATTTTTCCTCAATGCTTTGCTTACAACAGTAAACTCAGTTTTTCTTTACACCGTTTTGCTTTTGCTGTGAACTATTCCTTTGCTGTTTAAAAAAAAATTGTCTTTATTGATTTTATTTTATTTTAAATAAGATTAAGTTAAAAATTCTATTTATTGACTTTAGAGATGGGCTGGGGGGCGGGAGGGGAGAGAGAGAGGGGGAGAGAGAGAGAGAGAGAAACATGGATTTGTTGTTCCACTTACTTATAGATGCATTGGGTGTTCTTGGATGTACCCTGACCAATGCACAGCCATTGCTATTGGATGATGCTGTAACCAACTGAGCTACCCCATCAGGGTGCATTTTTAATCGTATTTGATCATTAATTAAAATTCAACCTCAATTTTTAGGCCTCTCTTTTTAGTCCTTACCCTAGGATATGTTTTTTATAAAATATTTTATTTATTTATTTTTAGAGCGAGGGGAAGGGAAGGAGAGAGAGAGGGAGGGAAACATCCATGCTGGCCTCAGGAACACCTCCAACTGAGGACCTGCCCTGCAACACAGGGACGTTCCCTGACCAGAATCAAATCGGGAGCTTTCAGTTCACAGGCCAGTGCTTAATCAACTGAGCCACACCAGCCCGGGTTATTTTTTCTTTTTAAATTGATTTTTAGAGAAAGAGAAAGGTGCGGGGGACGGGGCGGGGATGGGGGGGCGGGCGGCGAACATCAATGTGAGAGAGAAACATCAATTGGTTTTCCCCAACACGTGCCCTGCCTGGGGATCAAACTTGCAGCCAAGGTGGCCTCCCTTTCATGAAGTTTCTTTGACTGCATAAGCAGAATTGATCTTGCTTCCTAATCCTTTATGTCACTTATTGTATATTTTCGCATCTTTATTGTGAATGATTTTGTATCCTCAAATTGTTGGACATTGGTGTTTCCTCTTGTAGTGAAATACATCTCCCTCTTTTTGTGCCTACCAAGGTCTGTTGAAATAATTTATGCAAGCGTCTGTCTCTCTCTCATCCATGAGGTAGAGGTCCTTTTATTAATTTATTTTTTAATTAAAGTTTTTTTATATTGGTATATATTGGTAATCCGAAGGCCTAGCCAAGTGCTCCAGACATAATACATGCTCAGTAAATTTTTATGGTGGAACTAAAATTCAGGGCAAGGGGTATGCTTTATTTCTTTGCATGTGTAATGGTATCTAGCATATTGCCAAACATAGAATGCATGCTTAATTATTTGTTAATTAATTGACAAGATACTATATATATTCTAAGAAATTCGGTTGTGCACTCACTGACAGGTACGTCATTCCCACCTTCTTTTAACAGCTACCAGCTGAAACTCCAAAGAGATGCTGAGGGAGTGCATATCTGGGAGACAGTTATTATTGACTTTAGTCATTTACTAGTGAATTTCTACTATGATAAATGAAAATTTCGCTCAAGTAACCTCTGACCTTTCCCACCTTCCAAGTTTGAATGTTTTAATATTATTTTAAATTCTGCTCTGGATTGTTTTTGTCAATTGCATGATATACTTAAAATTTCCGTAGTATTGCATGATTTTGTAGTGTTAAGATAGACTTATTTCTCCTTTTTTTTTCAGCTTCTGTTAGTCTTTGTTCTGCATGTTTCTATTTTATTCTGTAATCATATTCAAGTCTTTGGCATTTTGAAGACGTAACAGAATTAGTCTAAAAGTTAAAAACCAATAGGAGTGTTTATTATGCAAACAGTAAATACTGTGTATAGCAGGGTGATATAGGATTCTGTGTATACTTTTTCTCTTTTTCGTCCAATGTCATATATATTTTTCCTTTTCCCACTTACATGAAAATGTTCCTAGTAGCTGTGTCAAATGGATTCTCTCTCTCTCTCTCTTTGCTGTTCCATAATTTACTTCGAATCACGGACACTTTAGTTTGCTTGTGGTCTTCAGGCTTGGGCCCCTTCCAATGTCAGAAAGTGGGGAGGACTTGCTCTGTGGTGCCAGCATTTTAGCAGCAGGTCAGATTCTCTGTAGTATGTTCACTCAGTTTGTTTTTTTTTAAAGCAAAATAATCCTCAAGTTTTCTTCCCCAAGGTTGTTGCCCAGCTGCCTGCATTGTAGTGTGTGTGTGTACACATCTGGTGTAGAGAATGTGGGGAGACAACTGGAACAAGTGTATTAGGTGATAGCCTTTCAACTAATCTTTCCACTTTTTTCTTTTTCATTTCTGAGGTTATGCCATGAAGTTCGTCACCTTTCTACTGCAACCCCTTTTTCTTATTCAAGGTTAGCTCCTTCCCTCTGCCTTATCCTCCCACACACTTCTGTGTATTTTCAGTCTTCCAGAAATTTGTTGAAATATCCCCTGTGCTTATTGCTCCCCTTAACTGGGTTTGTTTGTCTGTCTGTTTGTTTATTTATTTAGTTCTTACTTTAGTTTTAATGTGCTCTTGGGATGGACAGGACACTATGTACTTAGGCTATCTTCTTGACCTGGGGGTCAGAAGTAGTTTGACTTTCCCCAATAAAGTCCTACTCTGAGTACAGAGTTCTTTCAGCTGAGAGCCCAAAACATCTTTGTGATCTGTTAACCCTTACTGGGGCCCATGAGACATCCTCTCCGTCCTGGATGTATGTTAGGATAGATTATGTCTGAGCTCTGGTACTACTATCAGGCTAGACTATCTGTAAGCATTGGGGGAAGCTTATGGGTCCACTTCCCTAAATAGAGTAGGGGACAAATTAAGACATTTAAATATAAGCCCCTTAACTGGATAATACAAGAAGTTCAAAGAGAGTGAGCCCAGGGAAGGGCCTACCTGTAGGTGGTATTTTGTGCTCAGCATGGTGGCAGGGTCTGCAATAGGATATACTCCTAGTGGTTCAGTTCCATCTCAGGTATATGCTTGAAAGCAGGATTTACTGCACTGCAGCCCTAAAACTATTGCCAGGGTGGTTTTTTTTTTTTATGGAGACTTTTTCCTGATTCTGATAAAAAAATAGGGCATGTATTTCTTATTGGCTTATATACTCTGGACTCTACAATCAAGAAAACATACAGCCATCCCCATCTACCATATTGTGTGGTTAGCTGGGCTTTTTAAAAAATTTAAATTTTAATTCAAATGCATATTCCTTGATCTTTGTGACTTCCATTACTTTTAGGCCTTTATAAAATCAGACAAACATTAACTAATATTTTTCATACATGATAAAAAGTATTCACTTTTTGTATTTACTTCTCAAATTCATAAGAGTTTATGATGGTATATGGTGTGAGGCAAGGATATATCTTATCTAACTATCTATCTAAAAGTATGTTATCATCTACACTGGTACCTTTATTGAATAAAATAGCTTCTCCTGCTCATATGTGATGTTGCCTATATTAAATAGAATCTTACATATTTTAAAGAACATCCTACTATTTCTTTTACAGGCATCAGTTTTGAAGGAATCCAAAGGTGAAAGAACGATTGTAGTTGCTGGTCTTCCAGTTGGCCATTTTGATGATCAAATTCTGACCATATTAGTGAAGAGTCACTTCCAAGATAGTAAGAATAAGGGCGGAGTTGTCGAAGATGTGAGGTATCCAACAAGAACCAGGGGAGTTGCATATGTAACATTCGAAGAAAAAAAAGGTATTTCCAAGTCAAATTTTTGTAGTCTTAAAAACATTTCCATAATGAAATTGAAAATTGAGTTTAATTAAAATGAATCATGAGGTTGGTACAGTTTAAAGTTGCTTTAAAAAAATTATTCTATTCTGAATTTAAAGTGGCAGAGCATTGTATGAACTAGAATATATGTGAAAATGGCTCATGATAAAGTTGCTAGTAACTGGCAGATTCTTGAAGACTTCTTTCTAAATTTTGAATTGTCTATGTATTAGGATAAATGTGATACTTTTTGTGATATTGTAGCAAATTTGTAAATTATGGGAAATAAACAAAACCCCACAAAAATGATCTCTAATCTCACAAACAAGATAACTACTTTGGGAATTTTCAGGTGGCTTCAGCAGTGTGATTGTACCGTTATCTTCTCTTTGTTCAAGCCAACAAATGGATAATCTAACACATATTTGTTTTATTACTGGTAAAGTCAGATTGGAGAATTATGGCTTGAATCTGAGATCAGGTTGAGCCACTATGTTTCCCACTTCCGTCTCTGACGTAGGTGAGGAAGTTGGGTCTGCAGATCGTATTTCTCCCTCCTGCTTCATGGAATGGGGAAGCCTTTACAGCTCAGTGACTGAAGAATAAATTGCCAGAGAAAGATGAGTCTCTATTCCAACTTCGTGGACGTGAAAGTAACATATGGCATAGGAGGAGAAGAGACATTGCTCTGCTTGAAGGAAGACAGGGTCCAGAGATAGATCCAAGAGACTATTGATTATCAGTGCCTTTATCTGTAACCATTAGTTAAGTCATTCTCATAAGGGATGGTGGAAAGGACCTTTTATTATTTCTTATCATAAGGGGATTGTAGTGTTTTGGAAGTTAATATTTTATATGTTGAATTGGTAACCCAGAAAGAGAAAGAAAAGAGTGGGTTTATTTACTTATTCATTCATATGTGTTTATTGAATACCTATTATTTGCCAGGCACCATTGCAGGTCCTGAGGATATAGCAGTGAATGAAATAGGCAAAATGTTTTCTTTCATGAGGCATATGTCTGTGGGGGTGGACAGATCATATACAAACAGAATGTATATATAATATCTTAGGTGATTTATTTATATGTATTTTATATACTTATATTTACTTATGTTTATGCTCACTTATTTTTTATGAACAATAATGCACTTTTAAAAAAATTAAACTTATTTGTGTAATATTGGTTAATGACATTATGTAAATTTCAGCTATATAACTTTATAATACAGCACCTCTATACTGTACCATGTGCTCATCACCCAAAGTCCAGTCTCCTTCCATCATTTTGTATTTGCCCCCTTTACCCTCACCCCTCTGCTAGCATCCGTCTTGTTGTCTGTACCTATGAGTTTTTGTTTGTTTGTTTGTTTCATTTGTTTATTGCTTTTTGTTTTATATACCACATATGAGTGAAATCATTTGGTTCTTGTCCTTTTCCATTTGACTTATTTCACTTAGTATGATACATTCAAGGTCTGTTCATGTTGTGCAACGTCACTAGCTATTAGGGAAATGCAAAACAAACCACAATGAGATACCACTTCACACCTGTTACATGGCTATTATCAATAAGACAAGAAATAACAAGTGTTGGAGAGGATATGGAGAAAAAGGGAACCCTTGTACAATGCTGGTGGGAATATAAAAGGGTGCAGCCATTGTGGAAAACAGTACTGAGGTTGCTCAAAAAATTAAGAATAGAGTTACCTATAACTCAGCAATCCCTCTTCTTGGTGTCTCCCTGAAAATTTTGAAAACAATTGTTTTTAAAGATATGTGTACCCTTATGTTCATTGCAGCATTTTCACGGTACCTAAGACTGGGAAACAACCCAAGTGTTCTTTGACAAATGATTAGATAAAGAAAATGTAGTATATATATACAATAGAATCCTACTCAGTCATGAAAAAGATGGAATGTTGCTGTTTGTTTGTATTTATATATACTAATATATAATGTGAGTGCTATGAAAAAATATAAAGAAGAATAAAGGGGGAGAATATGATGGAGGGTGTTAATTTAGAGAGAGTGGGTAGGGAAATAAATCTGTTTAGGTGGCATTTGAGCAGAGACCTGAAGAAGTAAGAGAATGACTCATGCAGATAAAGAGGAAGGCAGGACATTCTTGGCCAAGGGAAAGATTGGGAAAAATTCTCTGAAGGGGCAGCATGCTGGTCATCTTGAGGAACAGCAAGGAGCCCTGTGTGGCTGGAGTGGAATGAGTGAGGGGGAGAGTAATAAGAGATGTGGTTAGATGGGTAGCCGGGCACCAATTTATGTTAAGTAGCCTGTAGGACCAGGCAAGGTGTCTGGATTTTATTTATCCTGGGTGAAAGGGAAAGCCAGTGAAGCATTTTGAGCAGAGGACAGACAAGACGTCACTTTTTTCTTGGATGGTCAGTCTATCAGCCACATGGAGAATAGAAGCTACTGGTCATGGCTGGTTTTGATTAATGTGGTAGCGGGTCAGGCGATTAAGAACTAGTGGGTGTTCAGGATTTGCTATTGATTAAGCGTCATTTTCTGAGATGTGAAACATGGGAGGAAGAGTACTTTTAGACAAAAATATTTATCCAGAGTTGAAGTTTGGTCATTGAGATGCCTATTAGAATAATGAAGTAGAGATTTCCATAGACAGAAGGGAAAAAGGTCCAGGCTGAGATATAATCTTGAAAGTAGTATATGCAGGGATAGTATCTAAAGCCATGGATCACCCAGGGGGTGGGTGCAAGTTAACAAAGAGGTATGAGACCTGAGGTGTAGGTAAGCCAACATCTAGAGAGTGGGAAGAGAAGGAGAATTAGCAAAGGAGACTGAGCATGTCAGCCAGTGAACGAGAGGAAAACCAGGACAGTGTGGTATCCTAGATTTAAGATGGTGAAGTCTCCTCATGGCCATAATTAACAGAGTGGGACACTGGTTAACTTTTAGGTGTTTGTTTTCTACTTATGTGTATACCTATGTGTGTTCCTGAAAGTATGAGTAGGATCATATGTATACATAAATGAATTTTAATGTATTAAAATAGAGGGGAAAACTACTTAAAAGCTGAATTTAGGGGAGAAATGTAGGAAAAAACTTAGGCATTCTAAATAATAGAGTTAAACATCTCTATTACTATTAATTAAAACAATTATTAGTGTATCAAGCCATAACACTTCTGCTGGCATTGTTTCCACTTAGTTGCAGAGAACGTCCTCAGGGAAAAGGAACACTATCTCGGAGAGAAGGGCGGACTCTTTCCACTAACAGTCTCTCATTTTAGTGAAAAGGTAAGTTTTGATGTCGAAGTCCTGCGGGGAGTCCTGGATCCCATTTCTTCTGTAGAGTGTTCCCTACCCAGGAAACTCTAAGCACTTTGACCCCATGACTTCCAGGAAAGAAAGCGCAAACTCCCTAACCCAAGTCAGTGGTAAAGGCCAAACCTGTGTCTTAACATTTTTTGGGTTACTGCCTGGTCTGTTGTTATGTTTCCATATGTCCCCGTTGATGCTTTTACAGTAGTAGTGAGTTTTTATGCTCTCATGGATCATGTCAGATATCTACCTAAAAACTTATTTTGGGAAAAAACGAAAGTCCAATTAGCATGAACATTAAAAAGAAGCTTTGAAGATGCAGGAAAGGCAGAAATCAGAGGAAAAAGTTAAAATTCAAAGCATTGGTTTGAAACTTTATTTGGTATGAAACCCAGGGTTCTGTGCAGCCATCTGAGGAACTTCGCTTTTGGAGGACTCTCTAGGGGGACAGGGGGACCACTTTCCACAGAGCTGAGCCAGAACAGTGTATATCTATGGATTCTGCTTAAGACCTTGTTTCCAAAAACGTTCTGCCTCTAAAACATATTTGACCACCTCTGTTTTGGGACTGGGAATCCCAGACTGAACATTGTGGGCTCTATGGGGTTGTGGGATCCTTTTGATGGCACAAGAAACCTGTCTGTGTTAGTCGGTTGGGGACTGGGTTAGGGCAGCTGCTGCAGAGACCGCGGCAGGAGAAGAGCGTGTTTAGGTGGCCTGCTCCACTGAACAGCGCTGTTTTAATGTCTCTCTTTTTAATTTTAGGTCTTCAGCTCTGTGAATGCCATACTTGATCTCTCCATTTTTCAGAGTCGAGACTATCTGCAAAGTCTGGTGAGGGACATGGAAAGGAAAAATCCAACTTTGTGCTTCAGGTCTTTGGAAGACAATGGAAGGGTCTCCGTTCAAGGATCATTTCCGGCTATCAAGAAGCTCAAAGAATCTTTGCTGTTACAAGCAAGTTCTCTTTTCGGAAAAAACAGGAGTTTAATCAGTGAGCAGGAAAAGAGGAGTAGACAAAGCCCCAGAAAGAGCCCACAGAGAAGTGGCAACTCTCTGGAGTCACTCGAGCCCTCAGGACCCGAGACTCCTAGTAGTGGGGAAATAGTTGTTCTCGACACAGATGTTTTTCTTTACCTGAAAAAGAAGAGAAGTTTTTATGAAAACATGTTGAAAAAATATCATGTTCTATGTCAGGAGAGAGTGAATGGTGAAATTACCACAATTTACATAAAAAATGCTCAAGTTGGTTCTCAGCCCAACTATGAAAAACTTGTGAAAGAGTATATTGAGAAATATGCACATGCTCTTCACTTTGAGCTTAAAAAAGAGACACTGGTTTTAGAAGGAAATGAAATGAGAGAGAAAAGAAATATTAAGTTGGCATGTGAACAACTAAGTTCAAGGTACCTTCTGGTTCTGATGAATTTTTATGAGACACACATTGACATTATAGGACCTTCTTCTGACATTTATTCATTTAAAAAAGAGGTCATGAAATTAATAAGGCAAACAGTTAGGTAATAGAATCTCAGCAATAGTGATGATGACTGTAGCTTTCCTTACTGAGCAGTGATGACTCTGTGCATAACACTACCTTTATTTACACACTTTATCTTATTTAATCTTTGAGACCATGCTTCATTGTAGGCATTGCTATCCTTATGTTATAGGGGAAGAAACCAGGATTTGGAGAGGTTAAAACGCTTGTCTGAGGTTACCTAGCTGGCAAGGAATGGGGCTGAGGTTAAACCCAGTTTATGTGACTACAAAGATGATCTCTAAGGTATAAAACTTTGAAAAAAAAAAGTACTAAACTTTGAAGAAATCTCACTTTCTCTGCAACCCTAATTTCTTAGAAGAAGAAGTAGCCTTAATTCTAATATGTGAGAAGTTTAGATGATGATTATTATGCTTTTGGCAAATCTTAGCATTTACAAAGTTTGCATTTATTCTAAATAGAATAAAAATGCTGGCAAAAGTCACTTAAGAAACTACTTGGGAAATACTTCTGATATAGATTAAATCATTATTTGACTAAATCCCATTGGTACAAGGCTACTGAACATATTGAACATTTTAATTTAGCCTAAGTTCTTACATAAAATGTTGGTTCTCCTGTTACAATTATGAAGACAGGGTAGTGGCTTTTTTCCCCTTTATTCCCCCTTTTATTTTATAATTGTATTGTTAAGTAACAACATTTAAGGAGTAAGATCATGGATGATGAGAATAATAACATAGTTACTGGAAACATTGGTGGGGGGAACATTTTGTAAAGTGTATGATTGTCTAACCACTATGCTGTTACACTTAAAACCAATACAAAATAACATTGAAAGTAAACTGTAATTGAAAAATTTTAAAAAGTCACAATTTTCACATATGCAACTAATAGAAAAATTGGCCTGGCCGGGTACTCAGTTTGTTAGAGCATCACCCCATATGCCATGGTTGTGGGTTTGATCCCTGGTCAGGCATGTACTATCAACCAATGAATGCATAAATAAATGGAACAACAAATCGATGTTTCTCTCTCTCCCTCTCTCCTTCCTCTTTCTCTCTAATCAATCAATAAAAAAATAAATCAAATGAAACATTTAGTAATACAAAAAGAATAACCAATGCTATCTGCCAGGCATAATTTTAAGGGCTTTTCCTATCTTTATTCATTCAGTTCTGATAGCAATCCTGTGCGGGAGGTGCTGTTTTAATGCCCTTTTCACAGGTGAGGAAACAAGTGCACTGATGTAATGTAACCTGTCCACGCTCTTAATTACTATGCTATGCTTCTCCCTTTTATAGACCTAGTCTCTTATAATTTGTCTTAAATGGTTGAGAAGTATTCCCTTAAAGATGACAGGATATGAAAATTTTTTAGTGAAGAAGGGAATCCAGGGCTTGTAAGTCACTAAACTGTCTAGGACTACCCTGAATTAACTTTGGATGAAGCCAGCTTTAGGTAGACAGGGCACTGCAGAGCTCCTCTTAGAATAATAAAATGTATACATCTTGCATAGCTCCAAATAGACAATCATGCGTATAATAATTGAAATTGTTTATATCAGTAGAAAAGATTAAGGACAATGTCTATATGCTTTCATTTTTCTCAGCCATCTAAATCCCAAATATGTAAGTAATTTTGATTTCTTTAAATATGACATTTCATTTCTGTATGAGTAAACACTTATCATGGGAAACTGCTGTTTGTATCAAGCAACCCAATAAAGTATCTTTAAGTTAAAAGGGTGTTTCATTCTTATTTTGCTTCAAAGAGTTTGTGTCAGCCTGGGTCCAATCAGGAGAGAGAAGGCACACAGTAATTTGAATAAGGAAAGTGTAATATAAAGGATTGTTAACTATACCAGGCTACTGGAATAATGAGGGATTGACTGTCAAGAAATAAAGAGAACTCTGAAAGATACAGGAATAAAAGATATAAGGAGCAGTGAGATAGAACATCCAAAGAAGAACTCCCCAGCCCCCTCCGCCCCCAGAACTGAGAGCCCGTCCTTGCTGGAGGACTTGCCCTAGGGGATCTTGCTGGAAACCCATCCTCTAGCGTGCTGGAAGAATCTCTCCACAGGAGTATTTCCCAGGGGCACTCCATTACAGAACGGCTGAAGGGGTTGCTGAGCGGGGGAAAGTGGCCGGTGGCTGGGTGCTGCTAGCCCCTGTGCAATGCAGGCTCCAAGGGCTGGGAGGTCCCCAATGCCAGGGCTGAACACTGGAGAGACTACCCGTGGTGCACGGGCCTGATGGTGGAGAAGCTGCCCAGGCTGCGGGAGCCGGGCACTGGGCACGAGGGAGCCTGCCTATTGAACACACTGAAGCAAGAACTAGACTCTTTTCTCCTGCAACGTCCCTCTGGTGCCCTCTACTGAGAAAGTTTAACATCCTGTCAGCTGCAAAAGAAATCTTGAAAGGGCTCAGATCTATTTTACAGAGTATGCACATAAGATGACTTTAAAGTTGAGTCAATATGTTAATAACTGGTATAGTTATCTTTGATACCTACCAAGCTGTTCATTATTGCTAGACATTTAATACCAAAAGGATATTTTCTTCAACAAAGAGCTGGATCAGAATACTGTCTCATTCCATGATCTGATACAAATTGAATACTAATTGATTTAAAGGTACAGGTACAGTATCTTCTGCTTGAGAAGATCATGTATTTCAGCTGTCCATTTTAGAATTTGTTTAACAGCACTCTTATAATACGCTAGTTATATAATCAATTTCCATCCTTTGTAAAAACTGACTTTTTTCCCAAAGTGGTAGTACTGAGTTTTATTAAGATTTATTTTTGAAGGTTACTGAGGCCCAGGCAGATGATGTGAGTCCTGCCTTGTTGTCAAGCCTAAACCCTGTTGTATGTCTGCCATTGAGAGAAAAGCTTATCTTTTAATTAGAAAGGCTGATAGTTTTCAAAGAAGCCGCAGATAGTGAAGGGAGCCATTATCAAGTTTAAAAAGATGCAGGAGAGTGAGATCGTGATGGGCAAAGGAGAAAAGTGGGAGAAAGGGCTCTGAGGCATTTGGGTAAGAAACTCAGGAGTTTTTGTTCAGCACCTCCTCTGGGACAACTGCTTTGCTGTGTTCTGGTGACAGCAGTGGGGCATAAGACAGAAATGTTTACCGACTCCTTAGAATTCTGGCAGGGAAGGCAGGCAAACCAGCCATTACTGTAGTGCTTGCTATACAAGTACTTGGCATAGTGTTGGGGAATCAATGCTTACCTAGTCATTTCCAAATTATTGGCATAATTCTCAAAGAAAAAGATAATGAGCATTTGTGCAAGTTTTATTTACCTTGTTATGAAGGAGTTAACTAGAAGAATGACAGAACTGGTTCAAAAAGAACATAAGAAATAGAATTAAAAAGGCACTAGGAAAAAGCGTGTTTGTAAAGATCGCTAACCTAGGATCAAAACTAATTAATGTCCTATAATGCTATGAAATTGTGACTTGGGGGATTATTTTTGCTGCTGGACAGAGAAAATAATCACAGTTTGTTGGTCTATTCTAGAAGTCAAATTTCTGATTTTACAGAGTTGTAAAATATCATTGCCCTAATCAATTGTGATATTAAGTGAAACCAAGTTACATTCCCCAGAAGAGATGACTCATAAGTGGGCTTATTGGAGAATGTTTAGTGTGGCATTAAAAGGTCTACATAATTATTTTGTACCTTGTTTCTGACTGTTGAGGAACTTTCTTTAACAAGTGTCAGAAACTTCCTAGGGGCTGAGAGCTGATGGACGACGGGTGTTAGCTCAGCGAAAGGATGAAGCAGGTGGGCAATTCTGCATCTTGCTTGGCAGATGAATGCGAAGTTTAAGGATGGCTGGATTTTGACAGCTTAACTTTTACAACTTTTATTTGACAGACAAGATTCCTCAATTTGTCAATAGAAGACTCATAGATACAGAGGTGTGGAGGGACGGAGACGTCTAATTTGCTTTGTGAGTTTCCCCTTGTAAACCATGTTAAGTGACATTGTGTAAAGCCTCCACAAAATAGTAATTTAAGGAACTTCACTATCCTGCCTGGATTTTATTACTTCAGAAACATTTCCTGGTATGAACACTGGCCAACTAAAATGAAAACTCTTTCACTTGCATGGGCTCTCCTCCATATTTTCCATTGGCCCTGTGTCTCCCTCTTTCACCGCTTTCAAACTGAATGATTCTACGAAAGTCCCTTTACTCCTCTGGCCTCAGAGTTCTTAGCTGTAACCTACTTCACAGGGTTATTGTGAGTTTTAGAAAGCACGTTAAGGAACAGATGTCCAAAAATAGTAGTTATTATTTGAAGAACTTAGTAATACCAATACCCCAAGAAGGCTCCCTCTGCTTGGAATGTCTCATCTCAGAGCTGGCACCAATTGTACTCAAGCTAGAAAACAAGGAGTCGCTCTGGACTTCTCCTTCTTTTTCTTTCCATTTGCACAGTCAGTATCTCAGATCAGGTATTGTCATTTCTACCTGATTTAGTGGGTTGAATAGTAACCCCGCCCAAAATTCACTTATTCCATAACTGTTAGCCACTACCTGAGTTGCTGCAATATTCTAACTGGCCTTCCTGGCTTGGCTCTACCCATCCCTATGCTCTCAATTCATCCTTTATACCACTACCAGATCCATCTCCCTAAAATAATTTGTGGTAATTGGGAGGCTTATACTATAAAGCTAGTGCTCTACCCTGAAATTTCATTGCAACATTTAATCTTACCTTCTCCTTTTATCCATTTACGGTATATATTATCTGGTAGGTACAGACTACTTAAGCTAATAAAAGATTAGTATTTTTTCATGTATTAACTTTATAATATTTTGTTTTTAAGTGTTTAATTTTCTGACGTGAATAAGTGTCCCCCACCTCCCCCCAAGCTTGTAAACATCATTTACTTATAGGCAGCTCTGTGTCAGAAGAACCCTGCCTATGTCGGCCATACAGCATAGACTTTAGCAACAATGCTTACTGGCTTGTGACTCTGTTCTTTCAGTTTCCACATCTATAAAATTGGAATAATAACTATGGCCTCATAAGCTTTTGTGATGATAAGATGAAGCCCTCAGCCCAGGGCTTGGCTCTGTGTAGCAAAAGGAAGTCCTTCTTACCATTCCCATCAACCACAGGAGAGAATGTGCCACAGTTCAGAGCAAATATGGTAACATAATTGGAAAAGTATTCCTTATATTTTCTTTGCTTCAGGTCTTTATCTACCACAGGAGGAATGGAGAGAGAGAGACAGAGAGAGAGAGAGAGAGAAACTGCTTGATGTTACAAAACATCTCTTGTAAAAGAGAATGCCCTCTGAAGTGGTCTCCCCATGTGTA